CCAGAGCTGCAACCACTGCCACTGCCACTGTCACTGCTACTGCCACTGGAGCTCTCTTCTTCCTCGGACTCAGCCTCAGGTGTCCAAATTGGATGCTGAAGGCTCCACAGCAGCGAGTCCTGCGATCCTTTGGACAGCAGCCAGAAAGCGCTCACCAGGCTCATAATCGTTGTGAAAGTCAGCCTACGCTTGCACTTGCGGCGGCAGCAGGGACTTCGCAACGCCTTCTGAACACGCTTGGCTGACTTACCGTTGGCCTGGTAAACGTCTTCGGAGCCGGAGTCGTCGTCTCCAAACAAGATCTGGTTCATAGAAAAGCTTGCAATCCTTTCCTGGTGCCAGCTGGACCCAGTCCCAGAATCTGAAGTGTATGATCCATCGTCGTCCGACTCTGAAGTGGATGATCCATCGTCGTCCGACTCTGAACTGGATGACCTATCGTCCGACTCTGAAGCTCCTTGTCTCTTACGTTTCAGCATGATGTCTCGTAGCAAACCCCGGCTTTCACCGTGATGTCTCGTAGCAAACCCCGGCTTTCACAGTGATGTCTCGTCGCAAACCCCGGCTGTGATGTCTCGTCGCAAACCCCGGCTTTCACAGTGATGTCTCGTCGCAAACCCCAGCTTTCACAGTGATGTCTCGTCGCAAACCCCGGTTTTCACAGGGATGTCTCACAGCAAACCCTCGCCATTGTGTCACAGCATGCGTCTACACAGCACACTGACGAGAGTGGGAATCCTAAACTTCGGCTGCACATTGACATCTTAATGCGTATCGCACACAGAAACCAAAGATACTGTAAACTCTGTCGTACAGTGAGGGTTTTGTAAACTTGACTGGATTATTGACGAAAGTATCAAAGCTTGACTTTGACATGCTGTATAACAAGTCGTCGTGCTCTTGAGTTGGCCTGACCAATCTCGAACAGGAAGCTGACACCGGCTGATCAACTGACCCACGGCTATGTGCATCGTGAACTGTTGTTCATGCTTCGCACACAGCAACTGCAAGCAACTGGGCATGCGCACAACAGACTGACACTCTATCTCTCTCTCTCTCTCTCTCTCTCTCTCTCTCTCTCTCTCTCTCTCTCTCTCGGAAGCCCTGCCTCTCGTGAGTTTCATGTGGCTGACACATGCGAGGTACAACAGCCTGTTTCCCGACACCACCGACCCGAGCGGTTCCATCAGGATTCTACCCACTCATAGCCAGAGGAGTCGGTCCTCAGCGACACCAATCCCCACAACAATCGGTAGAGATACCACCAGGTATAGCATGTGAACAACACAATTAGTTGTTGCAAACCAGGGTGCTTCCAGCATCGATCCACCCGCTCATGGCCGTAAAACTGGGTCCTCGGACAGAGACAGAAACAAACACTTAAACTTCAATGTCGGAATGACCCGCACCAGCATATGCGCAACAGGATTTTGCAGACCGGAGCACGTCGAGCCACTCAGACTCACCATTACAAGACTGGGTCCTGAGAGACAAGAAATGCAGACTTCAGCGATATATGACCTGCAACACACAGCATGTACACTTATTTGGCTTTTGCAGACCGGAGCGCTTCCAGCATCCCACTCATAGCCATAGGAAAGGGTCCTCAGAGACATGAGCACAAACTTCACCTTAAATGTCCGGCAACAAAACAGCATGTGCACTACAGGAGTTTGCATACCGGAGCTCTTCCAGCCACACATCCCCAGAAGAGTGGGTCCTCGCGACATAAGCACAAACTTCACCCGACTACAAGGCAAAGCATGTGCAGGCCTTACAGACTGGAGCACTCCAGCCACTCATCAGCATCAAAAATGGATCCTCAGACTCAGCTGAACTTCACACGACACGCAAGACACAGAAAGTGCACAGCTGGCTTTTGCAGACCAGTACACATTCCAGCCACCCATAGCCATAAAACTCATTCCTCAGCCATCACAGACTTCATCCACAAATGACCCACACCCAAAAGCATGTGCACGACAGGGTTTTGCAGACTGGAGCACTTCCAGCCACTCATCGTGATAAGAGTGGGTCCTCAGAACCAGCGCACAAAGTTCACTCGACCCACAGGACACAGCATAGGCACAGAGGTTTTGCAGACCGGAGCACTTCCAGCCACTCATCGCCATAAGAGTGTGTCCTCAGAACCAGCATAGAAAGCTCAACCGACCCAGAAGACACAGCATAGGCACAAAGGCTTTGCAGACCGGAGCACTTCCAGCCACTCATCGCCATAAGACTGGGTCCTCAGAACCAGCAGACAAAGTTCACCCGACCCAGAAGACACAGCATAGGCACAAAAGGCTTTGCAGACCGGAGCACTTCATCAGCCTCGCGAATGGATTTCCTCGTGGAGGCGAGTCAAATCCACGGCGCTGAAAGCACCAACCCATGCCAGCGCTGCAGATCGTACATTCATCGCCTCAATCACATGATTACCAGGCAACCGGACTGAACAACTTGCAAGACACTCGAAACATACTGCGTGGTTGCAGCTGGGACACATTCCCTGCCAGCCTCCGCAGGTCCTGGAAGCGCAAGGTGCATAGGATTTTGGTGTCAACATGGGTTCGGTGTCTTCAGATCAGAACGACAATCCATAGAACTTGAAGAGGTATCTTTGGGCCCCCAGCTAGCCTCCAGAACAGCACATCTGAATGATTGAATCAAGATATCCTAGTCCATTATATCCCCGGTGCGCCTGTGATACAGCCACGAGCATATTGTGAAGGATGCGAATGCATTCCGCGGCACCAAAACGCAAGGACACGCGTGTGTTACATGACCAACACAGGTTAGAAGGGGCCCCCACCCTGTAATAGTGACCATAAGGATTATATAGGATTATATTAGGGCCCTATTATATTCCTATTATACCACTATTACAGGGTGGGGGCAGCTTCTAAAACACAGGTGAGAACGGAGCCTACGAAGCTCGTCAGTACCACAACCCCGGTGTGACAAAACTAACTAGACTTGTTATTATATCATTGGTATGATTATTGTTATATTTTTTTTAACCGAAGATGCGCCTCAAGTCAATCTCAGTCGGTTTCGTCAGCAGATTGCAGCAACAACGCAGCCAGCAGAATGAGTCAGCTTGGGACTGGTGTCGCTTTAAATTATTACCAGCACTTTGGCTGGTAAAGTAAATTGAAATCGATGTCAGAGTGAATTAAACTCTTTCGGACCCTTGAATCTCGATGAGCCAAAACTGCTGGCAGCCACTTACCCCCAAACCATGAGATTCAGTCATATTTAGAACCCAGGGTGTCCCAGATGCATAACCAAACCCTCGAGCTACCTGAGGCTTGAAGTCTCACTAACCAGGATCTATAATAAAGCCTGCCGGTCAATACCTGAGTGTGACCTGGTCCATAAAAAAAACCAGCCGAAGAGCTTTCAATATCGGGTTACAGCTACATAGGTAATTTGCCAGCAGCCATCATATAGCTATTTAGGCAACACAAGGAATGTCAAGCACAACACAACAGATGTCGGGCACACCATAACCACCTCCCAAATCGACAATACCCAGAACTTTCTCGCAAGCCACTACCGAGCCCGGAATTGAAGCTTTGACCCCGACTCGACCCCGAGGCTTCCGAGGCCCTCTGAAGATACCGGAAACACGAAATTATGCCCTGCAAGCCCAACCGTGAAAAGACCTCGAAAACTATGCTGCCAATACGAGAACTCTAAATGAACCTAACCCACCAATCAGCCGACTTCATCCTGTTTCAACTATCCAACCACCGGCCCAGCCCTATGAACTCTCAAAGTCCACTCGAGACACGCTGAACACAGACTAAATCACAGAAAGCTGGCTATCATGCCATCAAACCAGGAAGACCCGGATACCCGAACAGCCGAACCCTGAATGCTGCTTCCAGAGCGCAGGACGATGCCGTGAAAACCAAAGGATGAACTAGCAAAGCTTCGAAACACGATTTGGACTATTATGTCAACCGGGGTCCAACTTAACGAAGGGAAACCCCTGTCTCAGAAACCCAGGAAGCTACACATCACCAGAACCATGGAGAATGACACCGCGTAGCCAGCATCATCTGACTTAAGTTCATGAAAGACACATGCAGAGCTGCCTGCGAGAAGCAACCACCACGGTAACTGCAATCATAGCGGCCTTACTTATGTCGGGTATGCTGCCACGAACGAATCTTAAGCCTATGTTATCTACTACTTATTGACCACAGATCACACTCGAAGCATAGCGTCACCGGTCGACTGATAATCCACCCGAGCACTACTAGATCGGCCCACTACTGTGCACATTAAGTCGAAGCTACATACATTAATACCCGTGCCACAATTCCGCAAGCACTGAAACTCATCGAATCCGGCTGATTAGGAATACGACCCCGGTCCTTGTCGGTCAAACCATAGAGGTTGAGCTTGGACACGTCGAAGTTTTGAAACATCAGCATCTCCATGCCTGCGCGCAACCATGAGCATTTCTGTATCCAAGTAACTTACCACTGCACAAAGACACTTGATTCCTGGCCTGTCAAACACCGTCCACGGTGAAGCATATACATATTGCTGGAGGGCGTCAGGCATGGGATCCATTTGTGCTGCAAGTGCATGCGGTTGATCATCTGGCTGACGTTGACGATCGAGGGCCGCCTTTCCCCGTGCAATGTCCCCAGGATATCGATTGCCTTAGCTGCCCATGTCAAGAGTGAGTGATTGATTCCAAACGACTTGCAATGCATCGTAACAGTCCGGAGTACGTGCTGTCTCCTCTGGTCCGGAAAGGCTTGTCGGGCGAAGTCCGATGTAGCCAGCTTCCTCGGGTTCACCTGGTGGAGAGTGGTGCAATGTGGGGAAGTCGGGAACTCCTGCACTCGGGCCTTGTGGTCCTTCATAAACTTGAAGTGAATCGCAGGCCATCGTAGTCCCGTACCATGAGGCCTCAAGAGCTCTGACCGGAATTGATTGGGGGGTGACATGACGACAGGTGTCAGGACATGCAGCACTTAATCAAATGCAAGGCCGAGCGTCAAATAGCGCAAATCCAATTGGGTTTGCCTCCGTCTCTTGCTCGGCGCCTCCTGGACCGCATCGGAGTCGTCCAATAGAAGTTCATGCCAGGGCGTCGGCGGGGTGCAGTTCCTCTTAGCCTTTGCGAGGATTGCGTTCAAGGCCTTCTGCAGCTTCGCATTCGAAGTGATTTCAGGGGCTGCGAGGCTCCTGCACTGCATCGTGGGATTTATGGAATGGGTCACTGTCGCACATGTTCGAGTTTAGGGGAAATAACAAGATGATGCATGCAGTGTCCTCAGAACACCGATGAAATACAGCCGGGGTCTGCTCACGACATCCCCAATCTCTTTGCTGTCAATCTCCATGATTGCATGATAGTAGTCCCTGAGCTTTCCCAGCTCATCGTTCACGGCTCCGAGGCATTTTCGTATCCCCTTCACATTCTCCAGGATATAGATGGGCACCCGAAGCCTCAGCACACGCTTCGCTTGTCGTTGTTACCGAATTATAAAGGCAACCAGCTAAACCGAGCCAAGGGACTCGCCGATGGTCTTCACGATGGCGAAAAAAGGCCGTGCAGCCTGTGGGCTGCCCGACAGCATCGCATCTCGATAGAAGAATGCTTCAGCCTAGACTTGCCCCACCCATACACTAGAATTCCGAGTCCTCTTCGTCGAGAAGATCGCTGTCTCTGCGAAGCACACTGAACCTGAATCCGATTCACGCTTCATGGACGGCTGTTAATTGAGACATGCTACCGACATGTCAATGTTGCAACAAAACAGGCTTCGACCAAGCAGCGGTTGGCACGGGAAGCCGGCGATGAGGGCGCCGCATCGGTAGTTTTCGAGCTGCAGCGTCCGGTTACAAACATCCGGGTAGAACCTTATGTGGCAAGCAGCTGGAGGGTCCCTCTGGGAGTTAGCAGAGTGCCACATTTATACACCCCTTACAGTAGCACAGCAGAACAAGACTGAGGCATGCAAAGTAGCACACGCGGCCGGAAGTTGTGAGCGATGAAGTCAGTTGCAATGCAGTTGATCTCGGAGGAGCTGATGTGGTCTACCTTAGCAATGGTTCGTCATTATTTGGATGTGATTGTTATGTGACTGCAGCACCCATTTCAGACTACATCTTCCTGGCCTTGATCCCCAGCGCCTTGAGAGCAAGAAGTCCGCCTTCGGCTCCAGAGCCTCAAAATCGGTGAATGAGTGTTGCAAGCAGCCCTGACGAAAACAGCAACCATTTAAACCCGGCAGCACTAAAGTGCAACGTGCATGATACCGCATACAAGGCACAATCGGACATCACCGGGAAGTCGTAGTTCAGGAATTTTTTCACCCGTCCCAGCATGCCTGGGTGTATTATGCGGCTTTGCTGATCAGTATGAAAAGAGCTCGCACCGGTATGCACAATGTAGCCGAGTGACCAGTGCGGCACAACATCGAGTTTCCCCATCCAGAAACATAGTGTCGCTGCGCACGGTTCAGTCTCTGGGACTGCACCGGGTCTCGCCTAAGCCGAAGCAAGCAATCAATGTCAGGGATGACCCTTCCAAGGTCAATGTTCAGAAATTCAGAAAACACATCGTAATTGAATTGCTGAGTGGCTTTGCGCGCTCACAAGCCTCATCCCAGTCTGGTAGAGCAACGTCACTGGAGCTGGAGTCGAAGCATACGCTGTACTCTGAGTACTCGCTGTCCGAAGTGCCACTGTAGCCCGACCCCGAAGTCCCTGGCCCCTCCACGTCTGTAGACGTCGTTTCTGACTCCGAACTCTCTAGCGCATCCAGGTCTGTAGGCTCCGAGGAACTCGACATGGCGAGGAGGTTTCTAGCTTATGCAATCTATGGTGGTGGTATCTAGCTTTCGCAGCCTAGGGTATGCAAGGAGGTATCTATAGCTCTCGCAGCCTAGGGTATGCAAGGAGGTATCTTGCTGTTGCAGCCTGTGCCATGTAGCCGAAGATCACTTTGCAACCTATGTTTTGCGATCTGTAGTAGTGCGATGATAAAATGCGAAGTGTTCCTGGAACTTGACCGCTGTGCCTGGAGCACACATGCCTCTCGGCCGCTCGCTTTCCCACAACCTCAATGTCAACCTCAAGCTTTAAGCCCCAAAACCCACTATATTGTAAACCCTCTCAAACCCTTTTAACAGAGTCTCGGTTATGGCTGGCCTGAATCCCGGTTTAGACGGCTGTCCCCTCTTAGGGTTTAGTAATCATTTGGGTTTAGAGTTTAACGATAATGTAGGGTGTAGGGTTTAGAGTTGAGTAGCAATTTAGAAACAGTTTAGGGTTTATAGGGTTTAAAGTCTAGCAGCAATGTAGGGTTTAGAGTTCAGCAGTAATTCAGGGTTTAGTGTTTAGACTCTAATAGTAGTTTAGGGTTTAGGGTTCAGAGTTTAGTAGTAATGCAGGGTTTAGGGCATAGAGTTTACAGTAATTACTTAGGGTTTCGGGTTTAGAGTTCATGAGAGTGATAGTTCTTTCTAGTGCATCCTGAAAACATAGTTTCGGAGGGGAGGGGGGGTTGTTGAAGTTCACTCTGCATCCTGAACCCAAACCCTAGTTAGTTAGTTCGTGGATGGGCATAAAGTTTCATTTTTTGCGCGGGTTTCAGGAGTCAGCGGTTATCGACATACCGGTTTCATGGTTCAGGTCTTTGGGCTCACTTTCTCGCTATACCCCCAACCCCAAACTGCAAAACTCGAAATATCCATGTACCCCAATGGAATATACTTGGGCTCTACCCCCAGAGCCCAATACCCCTTAACCAAGGAGTATACCTTAAACTATAAGGGGGCTCATATTATGATTTAAGCTAAATTCCTCAATAAAGGGGTATCGGGCTCTCTGGGTAAAGTGTTTACAAAGGGACTGCTGCAATAAGGCCAAAGTGTATACCATCGGGCACATGAACACTTTGGGAAAGCAGAGCCTCGAATATTTTTAGCCCATGGTTACCCAAAGGCTCCATGTACCTTTATGGTAGATACTTAAACCTTAAAGGGGCCCCTATATGGGTACTTTGAGGCTTAAGTATATACTATATGGGTACATGGAGCCTTAGGGTTACAAAGACTTCCAGAGCAGGCATTCCCAGTTTTCTGAAAGCACCCCCCGCCATGCAAAGTGTGTCGCTTCTTCAAGGCTTGCCGGTGCTTAGGGGTACTTAGAAATATTTTTCAGTTTTTGGTTATTATAATCCCTAAGAAACAGCAAAAATTGTAATTTTTGCTAGGGTTCTAAGTTCAGTATAGGGTTGTTGTTCCGAGGCCAATGGTTTGCAGACGCTACGCGCAGCAATAGGGGGTCGAGGAAGTTTGGGGTTTAGGATTTAGGGTTACCGAAATGCGCAATTATCTGAGTACCTCAAAGTCTTGATCGCTAACACCCGAAGGCCAAATCGAGTGAATCTGAACAGCAAGCCCAACAATATTAAACAACTTTCCATCCCAAAGTTGGCATAACGTCGAAGAGCTATATGAGTCATATGAGGTTTCGGTTTCGAGATGAGTGTAGGGCTGACTACACCCCCTGCCTCAAAACAGGCACGAGCGTTTCTGGAGAAGATGGATGCCATGTTCTCCTGACGGGGGGTGCAGAGTCGTGCAGATCCCTGAGACAGTCTTAGACTCACCAGCGCTTATGCGAAAGCCTTGCCTTCTTTTGGGTCCCCGAATAATACGATCCTAGAATGAAGTGTAGGTTCGGCTGTTGAAGGCACGCCCTGCAATCCCCAGATACATGCTAAACCCCATGACTGACCAAACAAGAGAAGCCTAAGCCCAAAATGGGAGTTTCCGAAAATAGGGGATCCCAATTATAGTACCCTAAGTAGTAGGAGCCCCTATTATAAGGACCCCAAAATAAGGTACCCCTAATTTTTCGGAAGCTCCCAAATGAGAGGACCCTGCATCAGTCCTACAGCCAAGCCCTCAGCCCTCGACCCTACATTGTAGGCCCTACATAAAACGCCCCCGAAGCCTGCTTCAACCGTAAAACCTGGCTACCTTAGCCCAGCGGCTTGCTAGCCAGGGATCTGTAGTATGGCTGCTCTCGCCCTAGCATGCCTTGTGTGATAGGGTTGTATAGGTGCTACATAAGAGTTTGTATGAGGGTGTTGACATAGAGTTCATGAGCAGCTCCAGTCCGGATCTGGGAGTTTCCAGAAAACTAGGAGTTACCTTATTTTGGGTCCGTATATTAAGGATCCTAGTATCTAGGGTACCATATGAGGGTCCTCTAGTTTAGTCGGAAACTCCCATATGACGAATACTAGAACATACACCCAGTAGCCCTGTTCGGACAATGGAGGTCTCATATATAGAGGCTTTTTAGGCTTTTCAGGGAGTTGGGCGCCCTATGCTTGTTTTTGATTGAGGTGTGTTCAGGTTTGTGGTGCAATCTAGTGTTTTGGGGCGGTTGGGGCTTTTAGAGTTCGGGGTTTTGGCTTTAAGGTTGGGGGTTTTCGGGCCTTAGGGTTCCTCAACAGATTTCGGATTGCCGAGGTCTTGGAATCTTGGAATCCCAGGTGTTCCGAAATTTAAAACCCTAGGACCCAGAGTAAGCCCTTATTCCCTTTTTTAGGGTTCTGGTTCCCTTATTAAGCCCCTTTAAACCAAAAAGGGCACCCTTTTTATTCATAGGTCACTCTTGGGTCTAGAACCTGAAGCCCCGAAAATTCTGGGCATGCCAGGGCTGGTGCGTAGATGTCCCATGGCGCTGTCCGAGACATGTTGCCATACGCGACGGAATGCTTATGGGGAGCCCACATAAGGGACGCCCAAGAGGAGAGGCGTACCGAAATCTGGAGCCCTACACCCGTAGTAGCTGAGTGGATACATTTTACACTTTTTGGGATAATATTACCCACTATAATTCTGAAAGTGCACCCTTTTCGGGGCTTATGAACTCAGCAACTAAGAACCTGAAACCCAAACCCCTGGGGCCCCCAGATCCGTCCTTGATTGTCCAGCTCCAACTCTACTCTAGCGCAGCGGGTTACTGTCCCATAAACCTTGCATATGTATTCCTTATGATAGACATAAATACACATAAGCCAGTAACCTACTATTAGATTCCTGTTCAACCACCCATGATGAAGCACTACAAGGTAAACCCCTTTAAAGCCCTACAAAGAAATTCTTATCAATCCTCTGAAAACCACGACACGCAGAAACCGTCAACCCGAAACCCCTAAACCCAAACCTTGAACCCTAAACCCTAAAGCCCTCCCCCCCTAAACCCTGAATCCTAAATCCTCAACCCCAAGCCCGTTTTCTAGGCAAGTCGACTCGTGTGGCTGGGATTTTCATCCGTCGCCCAACTCCCAGCAATTACCTTCGCACCTCCCACTCGTCAGGCGTTAGGGCTCCTTTTGCTAAAATAGTAGGCTACGAGGATGTAATCCAGTAACCAATCATTTCACCGACCAAAGCCCTAAACCCTAAACCCACTAGGACCCAGGGGAGGGTTTAGGGCTCCTTGAAGCTACTGTCATAGGGTTTCGGGTTTACAATCTAGGTTGCAAGTATGGGGCTCCTTTAAGGGTCCGAGGCTATGGAGTTGTGGGGGGGGGGGTTTAGGGGCTTTCACTATGTGGCTAGAAGAAATGTCAAGCTGTTGTAGGGGTCTGATAGGCGTACTGGAACGATTCAGTGTAGATTATGAGAGCTGATAGATCGAAGCATGCAGGCCCCTACATGATACCCCAATCCCTCGCTTGACCTACGAGCCCTCCACTGCGCTCCCTGGCTTCAGAAACACCTAGGTTCCCCAACCGCCACCCAAAAGGTGCCCAAGAGTAGAACGAACCCCCAACATCTCGCCGGAAGATTGAAAAGTCTTTGTTGTTTATGGATTTATGGGTCTTTAGGGGCTCAGGGAATTACGGTTTCAGTGTTTAGGGGTTTGGGGTAGAAGTTTGAACTGAATCCAAGCCACACTTTGCTCACCGAGAACTGCTAAGCAGAAGCTCACCAATGTCAGCATATGGGGTTAATTCAGGATTCCCTGTTGTTTTCACAGGGATAGCATTCAATGTCTTGTGCTTGTGCGGTTTGGGTACCTGTGCCTGCTAGACCTCGAGTCCTGAAACGTTTTGCAATCCTCATGAGAGTCCTAACCTTGGATACTGTAGGAACCCTGAGAGTCAATCCCGGGCGCCTACATCAAGCAGAAAAGGGCTTAAGATAGGAACATCTTGGAACCCGACGAGAGTGGGCGCCGTAGGACCTTTGCAGGTTAGGGGATTTGGTCTTGGGGGTTCGGGGTGAGCAGCAAATTCCCAGCTCTATCTTCAATGTCCCAAGCTTTACAAGGCCTTCTATATTCTATACCTTACGAATTAAAGCCTAAATCAACTTCACCGGGCAAGCATTGCAGCATATCCCAATAGCATGTGCTTAGGCTCCCGACTTACCATGAATCACAAAGTTCCCGACCTCTCTCGTATGCCAGTGAAGTACTGGATAGCTGAAAGTTTGCACGGATAAGCCGTCCATGGTTTCCTACTTAGAGGAGCATCGGACTTAGTAAGTAAGGTTGTAAGTACCTTGATTGGGGTTATATGTAATTATCGGTGTAGTTGCCTTACTTTTAATCCTATAGTTACTAAGTCCCATGATCCTCTAGGTAGACCTCTAGTTTGCCCCATGCGCCCGCAGCCTGAACACATTCGACGTCGGATTGCGAACCCGAGCTTCTCAAGGAAACAGAGATACAAACAAGTACCCTAAACCTTAAAAGGGTTTAGGATTTAGAGTTCAGGGTTTAGGGGAAATGTGTTAAACCCTACTCGCTGTTTCCGAGATC